GGGCCCCGCCCCGCCCCGCCCGGCGCGGGACGCACCCTGCTGTGCTCGGCGTCCGTGAACTGCTGCACGAAGAAGCACATGGCCTCGGTCTCAGCCTCCCCTTCGCAGCCCGGCGTTAGCTTCGAGCGGTAGCTCTGCAGAGGGAAGAGGGGCTCTGTAGAGGAGAGGGGACCCGACTGGGGCCCAGGCCGGGACCTGGGGTGCCGCTCCCACCTGCGTGTAGGCCAGCACGAAGGAATGCGAGCCGTCAAACAGGAAGAGTGTGGGCGCCGGGCTCTGCTGCGCCTGCAGCTGCGAGCACATCTCGAAGGCCACGCAGGCCCCGTAGGAGTAGCCGGCGATGCGGTAGGGCCCCTCGGGCTGCACCTGCCGGATGCACTGGATGTAGTAGGCGGCCAGGCTCTGGATGCTGTCCAGGGGTGCGGCTGCAGGAGTAGAGGCTGTGTGGGTGGGCGGCCCAGGGCCCGTCCCCAGGCCCACCACCCTCCTTGTTGGACACGGAGGCAGCCACGCAGGACCCAGACTAACCCCGGGTGCACTGAATGCCATAGGTGGGGATGCTGAGCTTGGAGGCCAGGCTGTGGAACACGGCGGTGGAGCCCTCGATGGGGTGCACCAGGAACAGGGGCCTCTCGGAGTTCTGTACTGAGTTGAGCCGCGTCAAGGTCGGGCCCTCGGGGTTCACCAGCAGGGCGCTCAGGTTCAGCAGGGCCTGCTGCTGGGAGCTGTCCTCCTTGGGTGTGGAGGCCACCAGCTCTGTGGGGAGGGGCAGATGGCAGCAGTGTCCACAGGTTCGCGCACACAAACACACAGACACGCACATGCACACACTCGCACACCTGGCTCCAGCTGCTGCTGGTCAGGAGTAGGGCAAGGCTCTGGGCCCCAAGGGAGCACTGTGGAAGGGGCCAGGTAAAGGAGCCCTGACCTGGGGGGTCCAGCTGCCTACAGGCCAGGAACACCAAAGGGGGCGGAGTTGTGCTGCTCCTGAGACACATGCCCCATATCCCAGAAAAAGGTTGGGCCAGGAGGCCTAGGAACCCCCTCTTCTCCCCAGCCGTCCTCTGACCCCACACACCATTCCCTGAGCTGGCCTGTGAGAGCTCTTGAAGCTTCCGGAGCGTGAACTTCTGGATGTCCCGCATGGATAGCACCAGGTCATACTCCCGCTCCAGCATCTGGCGCACCTCAACGCCCATGAGCGAGTCCAGGCCCAGGTTCCCCAGTGAGCTGTCCAGGTTGACAGCAGCCAAGTCTCGGATTCCTGGGGAGAGGTGCTTGGTTGGTAACTTGGGAAGGAGAGTGGGGCGGGTGGGTTAGGCCCTTTGTCTTCCCAAAACACTGAGGCCACGGTGACAGCACCAGCCTTCACCCAGCTCTGCAGAGACACTGTGCCTCCCTCTGTGAGCCAGCAGGCAGGCCCCCATGCAGCTGGGGAAGCTGAGGCTGGGGGAGCGGAGTGCCTGCCTGCGGGCAGTGCGGTCCCTCACCCAGGATGTGAGCCACGGACTTCAGCAGGTTGTGCTGGCTGTCGCCATCCCCTCGGGCTGCCACCTCCTTCTCTGCCAGCACAAAGCTGCTCAGGACAGGGTGGGGCTGGTTCAGGAACAGATCCAGCACCTCCAGGCAGGAGGTGATGCGCTGGGGCAGTGTCCCGCCGATGACTGTGTCGTTGTCGCCCATCCTCTCCAGGATGATGCCCACGTCGCCAATGCTGCCCCACTGCACAGCGAGGCCTACAGACGAGGAGGGCCGGGTCAGGGGCGTCCGCGGGGGAGGGCGGCCAGGGGAGCGGCAGGGCAGTGGCGGAGGCCTACCTGGGAGGCCCTCGTGCCTGCGCACCTCACATATGCGCTCCATGGTGGAGTTGGCGAAGCCGTAGTTGGTCTGACCCATGTTACCACGCCCACAGCTCACCGAGGAGAAGGCCACGAAGTAGTCCAGCTCGGGGCATGCCTCGCGGGTCACCCTGTGGGTGCTTGGGTCACTCCCTGGCCAGCTGCCCCTGCCCACCCCAATGGAGCCTCAACTCTGCCCCCAGCAGAGGTCTGTGGCCTGGACCCTGGGCCACCATGTGGGAGGGAATGGGGAGTGGCGGGAGAGTGTGCAGGCTGCTCCCTGCACACTCCGGGCCAGAGTTGGCTGCACTGCCTGGGGTGGGGGCCACATGCCCACCTGTCCAGGTTCAGGGTGCCGCTGTACTTGGGCTTGCTGACGTCTTGGAAGAGCTCTGGAGTCTGGTTCTCCAGCATGGCATCCCTCAGGACCTGGGGGAGAGGCATCCTCAGTGCTGCCTGGCCCAGGGCTTCAGAGAGCTCGGCCAGGGGACCTTCCTGGGGTGGCTGGCTCTGGCCTCTTCAGAGCAGCACTCACCATGGCCAGGTTGAAGACGCCTCCGACAGGCCCGAGCTGTGTGGCCTCGGCGATGAGGCCCCGAGCCCCGTCCAGAGAGCTGATGTTGCTGGTAGACACTAGGACCTGCACACCCTGGCGCTGCCACTTACGGACTTGCTTGGCCTGGTAGCCTATGAGGCAGCAAGGCCAAGAAAATCAGGGCTCCGTCTACCTAGCTCTGGTGTCCTTGGAGCACACTAGGGAGGGGATGACCAGAAGGGCACTCCTCCTACTGCCTGCCAACCACCACACACGCCCTAAGGCCCGCTCACCTGTGCGGATGCCAGAGCGGGAGGTCAGCACGAGCTTCTGGGCCCCTCGCAGCACAAGCCACTGAGCCAGCTCAAGGCCAAAGCCACCCAGGCCCCCGGCGATGATGTAGCTCTTATGGGCGGGGCAGAAGGTCTTGGATATAGCTGCCATCAGGGTGGGCTTGGGCCTGTGCAGCACAGCACCCTGCTCCTCCTCACGCACCTGCAGCCCAAGCAGCATGGCTCACGCATTGCTCACAGGTCCAGGCTGGGGCTGGGCGCCCAGGGTCCCCCTCTCACCTGCACAAGCACTTTGCCGATGTGCTTCCCCTGCGCCATGTAGCGGAAGGCATCCTCCACCTGGTCCTTGGGGAACACGGTGCACTTGAGGGGCTGCACCACGCCTTCCTGGATGCCTGTACGCAGCAGCTCTGCCACCTCCTGCCAGTGAGTGGCACTGGCCTCTTCAAAGAGTGAGTCCAGCAGGATCCCGTGGAAAGTCACGTTCTTTAGGAAAATGGCCATGCCTGCAGGGGCGATGAGTGTGCTCACCACTCGGCTCACAGCCTGTCTCGTGGACCCCACCTTGCCCCCAGCCCCCGACCCGTCTGCTGCCTGGCCTCACCCAGTGGGTGGTTTTTGAAAAGGTCAAATTTGCCTATTTCCAGAAAGCGGCCATGCTGGGCCAGGCACCGCACACTGGCCTGCAGCTTCTCTTCCGCCAGGGAGTTCAGGACCAGGTCCACACCTGGTGGGGGTGACAGAAGGGGTTATTATGGTCACAACCACCCTTGGGCACCCCAACTAGTCCAGACGACCAGAAACTGCCTGGGCCAGTGTCTTCAGCTCAGCCAGTAGGGAGGGAGAATGGGGGAGGAGGGTTGGAGTACGGGCGCATGGCAGATGGTAGGTGCTGGGAGGTCAGGAGGCTGCTGGGTGCCTGAGAGCACACACCCTTCCCGGCCGTGTGCTGAAGCACGTGCTGCTCGAAGGACGTGTCCCTGGAGTTTGCGAAGCTGGTGTCATTGAGCTGCGGGAACCTGGCCTGGAGGTACGCCCGCTTCTCGGCTGACCCTAATGGGGGAGAGGTGCCAGCTGGTGAGCCTGGCTATGTGGCTGGAGGGGCAGCCCTGGGCTTGGGAAAGGCCGGCTAGCTCACCTACGGTGGTGAAGACGCGGCAGCCCAGGCTGAGGGCGATGGCGATGGCAGCCTGGCCCACACCGCCCGAGCCTGAGTGGATGAGCAAGGTCTCCCCACGCTGCAAGCGCCCCCGCACCACCAGCGAGTAGTAGGCAGTGGTGTAGACGACAGGCACTGAGGCTGCCTCCTTCAGGGTCCTGCAGGTACAGTGCACGGGGTCACTTGGGCCTGACCCCCAGTCACCTCTGCATGGGGCCCCAGCTCACAGCCAGACTGACTCACCAGCTGGAGGGGACATCCCACAGGAAGTTCTCAGACAGCAGAACTGAGGTGGCCAAGCCTTGGGCGGGCACCAGCCCCATGACGCGCTTGCCGTTGGGGTCTCGGCCAGAGAACTCCATGCCCAGTATGCAATCCTGGGAGGCCGATTTCCCTGGGGGCAGACAGTAGGTGAGCCCACATCTCCCAGATCCTGAGCACTTTGGGCAAGGACCCCGTCTCCTTTCCAGGTCCTGGTCCCTGGGGCCTGTGCTCTGCCCCACCCCTGCCCCTGCCCCTGCTGCCCGCACCTGGGATGGCGTCCGGGGACAGCTTGCCCGTGGCCAGCATGATGTCCCGGAAGTTGAGGGAGGCATAGTAGATGGTGCAGAGATGGACGCCGGGGGCCGGGGCGTGGCGCAGTGGGGAGCAGACCCAGCGGATGGAGGACAGGTTCCCGTAGGTGAGGACATTGACGAAGGCGTGCTCCGTCTGCTCCTCTGGCTGACCTGGGGAACAACAGGAAGCAGGCTACTAGGGGGCCGTGTGTGGCCCAGGCTGGGTGGGATCCCCAGCCCCTTCTCATCCACTCAGTGGCAAAAGAGGAGCCTGGGGGGGCTCACCGTGCTCCAGTGGGAAGTGGCGGAAGGTCCCCCAGGCCCCGTCCCGGTAGACATTCATCGCCAGGTCCCCCTGCAGCACCTTCTGCAGCTCTGCAGAGCTTGGGTCCAGCTTGGGGATGGGGGACGTGCTGCTGAGGTTGGACACCAGGATGCACCTGTGGGTAGCCAAACCAGTGAGAGGAGGCAGCGCTGGATGGGGAGGGTAGGGAGGGGCTGATGGCGGGAGGCAGGGAAGCATAGCTCGGTGGCATCTCTCACCGGACCCGGTGGCTGCCGGGCTCCTTGCGGAGACAGTTGACCATTCCAACGATGCCCGAGGTGGAGCAGCCAGTGGCTGTCAGCCACACAGGCTGGGAGGAGGAGTTGGCCAGAATGTCCTGC